CGAAAAAAAAAAAAAAAAAAAACAAAAAAAAAAAAAAAAAAAAAAAAAAAAAAAAATAAAAAAAAAGATGAAGTGCCGACTCAGATTCACAATTAACCCTGAAGTGTTCTGTCTTGGGCCTGTTGCTTATGCAGTTCTCAGGCCAAGGCAGTTCTCTTGGGGCCTTCTGGAACCCCAGGCCAGCCTGCTGTCCTGCCCTCGGGCCAGGAAGACAGGACCCATATTCAACCCTGAAAAATCAGGAGCTGACTTGCCATTCTGTCCTTGGATCCTCCCGTCACCACCCCCAGCCCTAATTCCATGGTGCCCTGTTCACTCCAGCCTCTCTTCCTCAGGTGATTTGTTGATCATCATGGCCCAGATCATCGTTGCCATCCAGATGGTGCTAGAGGAGAAGTTTGTCTACAAACACAATGTCCACCCGCTCAGGGCAGTGGGCATTGAGGGTGCGTGTGGGCACAGGCCTGGGAGCCGTAGCTGGTGGGAAGGGTATGCTGGGGCAGCATGTGCTATGAAAACATAAAAGTAGAGCTCGGGGCAGGGCCTGGCAACCACTTGATACAGTGAGCCTCCATCCCCAGAGGGACATGGGCAAGGGGAGAGGAGACAGAGAAGGAAAATGAGCAAGACACATGCTCCTCTTAGAGGCAGTGACAGCAAGGAAGGGGCCAGACAGTACACTTGAGCTTAAACCATTCATACTCAGGCACCTCATTTGCTGAGCAGTTCTGAGTCTCTTAGGGCAGGAAAGGTGACCTTGGAGTCACAGCTTTCAACAGACAGGAGGAGGGGAGAGGGACTTCCTGACAGGGCGATGGCCTGAGTTGCCAGTTGTGAGTTTGGAAACCAGTGAGTTGTCCTTTGAGTGGGATTTAACATCAAGGCGAAGGAACGTATCCCAGGAGTGGACCACAGGAACCTAGCAAAAACAGTGGTTCTGAGATGAGAGACTGCCTACCTGTGGGCATGCTGGGACGCCCCAGGCAGGGTGGAGAAAGTGATGAGCATCCTTGCTTCCTACAGGCTTCTTTGGCTTTGTGACCCTCTCGCTGCTCCTCGTGCCCATGTACTACATCCCAGCTGACTCCTTTAGTGGGAACCCTCGTGGGATGCTGGAGGATGCACTGGATGCCTTCTGCCAGGTGGGCCGACAGCCCCTGATTGCCCTGGCTCTGCTGGGCAACATCAGCAGCATTGCCTTCTTCAACTTTGCGGGGATCAGTGTCACCAAGGAACTGAGTGCCACCACCCGCATGGTGCTAGACAGCTTACGCACCGTGGTCATCTGGGCCTTGAGCCTTGCACTGGGCTGGGAGACCTTCCACCCACTGCAGATCCTTGGTTTCTTCATCCTCCTCATGGGCACTGCCCTCTACAATGGACTGCACCATCCACTGCTAGCCTGCCTGTCCAGGAGCTGGCATCCCCCAACCCAAGAGGGTGAGCAAGAGAGACTGTTGGGTGACAGCCGGACTCCTATCAATGATGCCAGCTAAGCCCATGGTGGGGGTCTCTGCTGCTACCAGATGACTGAGGCCATGCAGACTGGTGGGCTATGAGTGCCCTGTCCCCAAGGCCTCACCCCACCCCTCCCTATTGACCCCTTTGGGCAACTGCTGCCAGAGAGGATGGCAGAACACCAGGTCTTCTCTTATTCCTGAAGCCTATAATGTTGGGACACAGCCTCCACAGACCTGGGTATGGCATCCACTCTCAGCCCTCCGAGTTCTTCCTGCAAAAATGTGAACTTGAATGGCAGGAATTTATAACCCTAATATTTCTGTGTAATACACTAACTTGTTACAGTAGATTATCTAGCTTATGAATCATAAGCTACAAAGAATTCAGTGAGAAGGTTCAAATCAGAGCTAGAGATGTATTCTCCAAGTTTAAGCCTGTCTGGAGACCTAGGTTCCAGTTCAGACTTGACTGCAGACTCCGTGTGTGCACCAGGTCTGTCCATTCTGGAGCACAGGTGAACATGGTATGGTTTCGGTGCCTTGCAGCCCCAGCATTCTGTGGGCCTCTGGTTGTCACTAGCATTAGAAAAGAGGAGCAGTATCTCACCATGGTGGGTTTTGGGTTTTTGTTTTGTTTTGTTTTTTGCCACTCTGCAGCCCTGGCTGTCCTGAAACTCATGATGTAGACCAGGCTGGCCTGAAACTCATGATGTAGACTAGGCTGGCCTCAGACTCACAGAGACCCACCTGTCTCTGCTTCCTCAGTTCTGGAATTAAAGGTGTGTGTCACTATGCCCAGCACCTAAATGTTTTGATGCTCTGTTCTTCATACTTCAAGGCATCTCTTCTTGGGAAAGACTACAGGGGGGTTTCAGGCAGCCCTTGGAAATCACTTCATGAGCCCATTTTGTTTTGTTTGAAGCAAGGTCTTCTGTAGCATTCAACTTCCTTTATAGCCCCGAGCTGGCTTCAAACTCAGTCCTCCTGCCTCAGCCTCTCAAGTGCTGAAATGACAGGCATATGCCACCATGCCTGGAGAGCTTCCATTTTAAGGTAAGGAGACTGAATTTCATAACTTGTTCAACAAGAGGGATCTGTCTCTAGCTGTGAGCGTGGGCCAAAGACCTGGGAGAGCCCTGGTCTCAGCAGCCACATGGCTCTGTGTTAGTGAGACCTGGAGCATCTGTGGCTCACAGCCCCACTCCCAGCAGTCTGGGCCCAGAGTACCCACCAGGATGACAGACTTCCCAGGATTCTTCCTTATGGAATAGTTTGGCATTCCCAGCATTGGGTTAAATGCTCAGTCCTCACACAGGTACAGAGGGAAAGGCACTCCCAAAAGGCTAAAGTGATATATATACACATAGAGCCAGTATCCCAGCCAGCCAGGTTTGTCTGGTTTGAAACCTGTGGCCCACTACCACATGGGTCTCTGTGGGTCTTCGGTGGATTTCTATGACTGGGCTAAATGCCTAACATAGTGTTACCTGCAGGTACTCCCACCCTTAATAGAAGAAATGCAGCCCTTAATCCCAGCATTGCTCATGGGAATGGTTGAGTGGCAGCCCAATAATAAACAAAACCCTAAGACCTTTCTTAAAGAGATTGTGGGCAGAAGAGGCCTTTGACAAACAAGGCCCTCAGTGTATAGTTAATTCCGACATTCTCATGGTATGTCAAGGAAGGAACTCTCTGTTCCATCAGCCCTGAGTCCCAGGAACCCAAGCTTCTCTAGACTATACTGTGTGACCCAGGGAGAAGTAGATGAGGACTCTGTGCCCACTTATTCAAGGAGGCAGAGACAGTGTGGCAGCTGTCCTGAACAAAAACAAACGCTGGGGCCCTACCATGTTGCTTTTGAGTTTATTTTTTTAAAAAATGGAAAAGGTCAATATTGAACCTTTTTTTAATGAAAGAGAAACGGCATAAGAGAGCCCAAGTGTAGCATCTAGAATGAATGTTGAGTGTCAGAAGCACAAACATCATTTACTCCTTCCGAGGAAGACAGTAGAGCCCAGGGCCAGGGAGATGGCTCAGCAGGGAAAAGCACTTGCCTTGAAAACCTGGTGGCCTTAGTTCAACCCCAGAACCCTCAGTGGAAGGAGCAAGCTGACTCCCAAATGTCCTCTGACCTCCACGTGCACGCTGTCAACATTCACATGCAGATCATACATGTGTAATAATAATTGTAAAAACCCTGAAGGACACTAATGCCCAGAATGGGAAGGACTTCCCGGAGGTCACAGCCTATTACAATGCCAGGTGCCCTGGTTCGTTGCCCATCCCATTGTGCCACAGATGGGTAGACCAGAGTTGGTAGCCAGAATCTCACCTGCCCTGGACTGCCCAACCTGTGTTAAGCAGGCATGTGCCACTACGCCCACCTGCCAACATCCTCTTAAAACCCAAGATCAGCAGGAGACTCTGTTAAGTCTTAGAAATTTGGATTGCCCACTTTTGGGGGTTATGGTAAAACAGGATTTCTCTGTGTAGCCTGGGTGTCCTGGAGCTCGGTGTGTCGACCAGGCTGGCCTCGAACTCAGAGATCCGCCTGCCTCTGCCTCCCGAGTGCTGGGACACTAAACCCTTTTTTAGACATGGGGGAACGTGGTTCTTGTGAGTGCTGCCATGGCTCCCCTGACCTTAGTGAGAGCAAATGGAGACCTGGGTTTGGCAGCAGTGGCCTATACAGTCCATACTTCATGTTTAACATCCTATCTTAATCAAGAGTCAGTGTGAGTATAGCATTGGGCTCCATTCTGTACTACTGTCATTTATGACTTACATGATGTCATTTGCTGCAAGATAAAACTGGTAGCCCAGAAATCAGGACACGTGGCCTTTTGTAGTTTTATGTGCCCCTTGCTCCCCACAGGTGCACCCATCTGAAGGGCTCGAGAAAGGCTGCCACAAGTCTGGAGAAGCTTGTGAGGTTGGTCTGCATCTTGGGCATTCTCAGAGTTAAGAATTCGTTTATGGCCTCAGGTTCATCAGAACACTCACCACTGCACCTCTATGTAAGCACTGCAAGGAGCTGCAGCATGGACTGCAGTGTAATTAGCTGCCTTCTGTGGGCACTTCCTCTTTGTGCTTCCAAATCATTTTTCAGTGCTCTCCCAGGATCCAAAGCAAATGTCCCCTTCCACCTGGCATCACAGAGGGAGATATGTGGCAGTCAAGTTTAAAGTGGTTTTCCTCCAGAAGTGATAGAGAAAGAAGCAGTGGTTGTCGGTGGTAGAAAGGGCCGAGGACCAGAACACAGTTTGCCTCCACAACCTGCTGCAGGAGGCAGGGGAACATTCCTTTAGAAAGTGTATGCTTCGTATTCTTCATCTTCAGCACATTTGGCAGCACCTCCACTTTGGGATCATTCGAACCACATAGGCAGAATCAACTTTAGTGAACCTTATCTACTTTTTAAATGCGTGTGAATGTGTGTGCGCGCATGTCCAAGTGCATGTGTGGAAGCAGATGTATGTGAACATGTATGCATATGCATGTAGAAGCCACGAGACAGCTTCAAGGAGACACTGTTCCCAGCTTACTGTACCGTAGTACTAGAGCAAGGGCTGTGGGCTCCATTACCAGAAAAGAAAGGCATAGCCCAAGATAGAAGGAAAGGCAGCTTCCTAGTCAGTTACTTCTCCCAGTGATGAAACAAGAGTTACTATCTTACTGTGCAACATCGAAACTATCATTTATGGCAGGCAAGTGAATCTCCAAAGTCATGGAGCTAGTGAACAGGAAGCTAGAATCCAAGCTTATTAAAAGCTTATACATGCCCTTAAGCTGACCACAGTCAAGGTGGGGATTGTGTGTTCTGATCATGAAAATGACCCTAAAATATGTGTGTGCGTGTGTGTGTGTGTGTGTGTGTGTGTGTGTGTGTGTGTGTGTGTGTTGGAAATTAAACCCAGAGGCATCATGCTTGCTAAGCTAGCCCTCTATCAATGATCTATATCCCCAGCTCTGTTTTTACTTTTGTTCTTGAGTCTTCCTCAGTTGTCTAGACCAGTCTTGGGTCCTGTAGCCCAGGTAGTCCTTGAACTTTTGGTCTTCCTCAGCCTCCCAAGTAGATGGGATGACAGGTCACAACCACCGTGCCTATCACTATTGACATTTTTCAAACCAGACTTGAGCCCCCTGGGTGTGGTGACACCTCAATCCCATAGTTCCTTGAGTTAGATTGTCACTGCTCTCTTTCTCCCTCCTTCCCTCCCTCCCTCCCCAGTAACTTCTCACTGTATTGCTCAAACCAGATTGTATCTTTTCCAATTAACACGAGTAATGTGGTGGTTCCAAAGTCCCAGGTCACCATGTTGATGCCAAATCAGCAAAGCATGTTATAGGCTACAATCCCTGGGCCTGAATGATCTTCCTGTCTAGAGTAGCTGGGACTTTAGATATGTGAAATTGCACCCACTTCTCTCTTCAGTAAAGAAAAAATAAAACCACCATAACAAGCAGTAGTGTCCTTTCCAGTGGTGACGACCTCCCTACGGGAACATGCCTCTGGAAAAGGATCTCCTTCATCCCTCTCCAGAAGAGGAAAAGCGGAAACACAAGAAAAAGCGCCTGGTACAGAGCCCCAGTTCCTACTTTATGGATGTGAAGTGCCCAGGATGCTATAAAATCACCACAGTCTTTAGCCATGCACAAACGGTAGTCTTGTGTGTTAGCTGCTCCACTGTCCTCTGTCAGCCCACAGGCAGAAAAGCAAGGCTGACAGAAGGATGCTCCTTTAGGAGGAAGCAGCACTAAAAAGCACCTGATTCAAGATGAGTGGGAACCATCCCAATAAACACATTTTGGATTAAAAGAAGCAGCAGCAGTGTGGTGACATCACTAGGTGTGGGGTTCAAATCCTGCCTCAGCTGCTTTTCCTATGTGCCTTAAGTCTTGGCTGAAGGAGTCTGTCTCAGACATTATGGCACAACCAACTAATTTCCCCCTTTCTCCTACGCTGAACTCCCCAAGAGTTCTGAGAGTTCCTATGATCTATAATTTACTACTTTTGTTCCATTCAACTGGTCTAGAGCTCAAAGATGACTAGTGTTCACCTTGACATCTTCAGCCTACTTTGCTTCCATTTAGTTTATTCAAAAAAAAAAATCAGGGTCTGGAGAGATGGCTCAGTAGATAAACATACATGGTATCTCACAGTTTATAATGGGGTCTGATGCCATGTTCTGGAGTAGACAGAGCACTCATATACATAAAGCACAGAAATAAATCTTTAAAAAACCATCGGTAGTTCAATTGGTTCAAAAACCAAAATATATAAAAAATGTATACATTAATAAACACCCCTCCTTCTACCTTAAGCCACTCACTGCTGCTTCAGAGACTGTTAGTTTCATCAATTTCTTAGGAATCTAGATTCTGTCTTCCACCAGCTTTCTACTTCTAGCTTAATAAAGGGCTATCTGTCTAAAGCAGAGTTCATAAGTGAAATTTTCTCTGTCTAATTAACAGTTGCTAAGGATGCGGATTTCTTCAGTCCATGTTGAACTAGATAACTGGAGGTGGAAGGTGGGATCATCTTTCTGTGATTTGACCATACCTTAAAAACTTAGAACCCTCCTTTTCTCTTTTTTATAGTAAATATAAAATTTTGATGGCATTAAGAGCATACATGTGATACAACCACAACTGTCATCAGTCTATAAGGCTGCTTTCACTTCCCAATTGGAAACTCTGTCCCCACTCAACAATAACCCCATTATCCACCCTCCCAGCTCCTGGAAACCACCATTCTACTTTCTCTCAATGAATTCAACCACTCTCATACCTACCTCATGTCAGTGGAATCATAGACCAGTGATCTTTTTGTGACTAGCTTATGTCACTTAGCATAGTGATTTCAAGGTTCATCCATGCAGCTTATGTCAGAAATTCTTCCCTTTTTAAAGGTGAATAACACCATTGTATATTCATTTTCTCTATTCATTTGCTGATGGACACTCAGGTACTTTCCACTGATTGGTCATTGTGAGTAAAACTGCTATGAATGAATGAATATATATATATATATGTATGTATGTATGTATGTATGTATGTATGTATTCCTACTTCTGGTTCCTTTAGATATATAACATGGACCTCTAAGTCATATAGTAATTCTTTGTTTTGTTTTTTGTTTGTTTGTTTGTTTGTTTGTTTGTTTTTCAAGACAGGGTTTCTCTGTGGCTTTGGAGTCTGTCCTGGAACTAGCTCTAGTAGACCAGGCTGGTCTCAAATTCACAGACATCCGCCTGTCTCTGCCTCCTGAGTGCTGGGACTAAAGGTGTATGCCACCACCGCCCAGCATCATATAGTAATTCTATGTTTAAATTATGTGTTTGTAGGTAGCATACTGAGGATTGAACACAGAACCTTGTATATGAGGCAAGTGCTTTAACATGAGCTATGTCAGCCTTTGTTTGTTTGGTTTTTTGTTTGTTTGAGACAAATTTTACTACATAGGATGACTAGCCTAGAACTCACTAAGCTAGGCTGCCCTGAACTTAGAGCAAACCTCTTGCCTCTACCTCCCAAATGCTGGAATTAAGATCCACAGATGAAGTCAGGGCACCTATGGCCCCATCTCCCAAAGCCCCCACCCCTGAGCACTGCTGCACTTGGGACCAAGCTTCTGTAGGACATTTCAGGTTCCAGCCATGACACATTTCCATAGCAGCTGCACCATTTTACACCACCCACCCCAGTGTTGCAGAAGGGTTCTGTGAAACCACTGATTATATAAGGAGATTCTTGATTAGAGTACACGTTCATGGTAGAGCATTTAGAAAACTCAAAAAAGCAAAATGACGAAATTGAAATCCTCTTTATTCTAATTGCAGAGATATGACCCGAATTCATATTACTCCCAGGAGAAAGGGAAAAGCTGTTTTTTTTTTTTTTCTCTGACAGTTCTGTCATGGTGTTCAATAGTATAGTCCAGGAACAGTGCTGGCTCGTGCCCTGCCTGGACCTTGTCCTCAGATCCCATCGTCCTGGCTGTCCCCTCGACCCTAGAAAAGTTCACGGTGTTAACCTGGCCTCTGAATCCTATTTGCTGGTTGCTCTCGGGAGGGTCCCTCCCGGGAGCTGTGTGGAGTGTCACATTTTTGGGCGGTCTGTTTCTCCATTCTCAAAGCCACACCAACGTTGATACGAAAGCGTAAAACGTTTGAGGGAATGAATTCTAAAAACTCACCACCTACATCAGACTGAGTTGTCCTTTTGCCCAGAGGGCACCAGAGCAAGCTAGTCGGGTCAGTCAAAGATCAACACGCAAAATGTGAGAAAGCCCCGCCTTCCTTAGCTTCTCCAAGTGCCCATTGGCTGACTCTGCGGCCAGACCCTCATTCTCACTGGTCCTTGTGGCTGTCGCTCCACGGTGGCGTTCCAGAGCCAGCCACTGAGAGTCACGGAATTGGGGATTTAAAAAATGCGGTAGGCGGGGTGGGTTTTTTTCAAACTGATGGCGGCCGAGCTCCTGCGGCTCTGACACGCTCAGTCACCTCGCTCTCTCGTCGGGCTTAGCGGAGGCGGCGGAGCTTGGACCCACTCGCGGCCAACCATGGGCCCGCGCCGCAAGCCGAGGACCCCGAGAAGGCGCCCCTCCAGCCCGGTCCCCGGACCCTCGCGACGCAGCTCCCGTCCAGGTAAGCGGGCCTGCCGGAACCTCAGCTCTGAGGGTGCTGGGGACGGCCGGCTTGAAGAGGGTTCCGAACCCGGGAAACCACAGGCCTAAGGGTAAGGGTGCTGAGAACACAGCTCAGGCCTTCTGGAAGAGCGACAAGCGCTGTTTAACTGTTGAGCAAGCTTTCCAAGCCCAACATTTTATTATTTTACTAGCATACTTGGTCTCCCCAGCCTAGTTCAAATCACTGGCGTTTCTTCTGTCCTCCCTTGACTCACAGTTGAGAGTTCTGTCCACGGCCATTTGGGCTGGAGGCATGGGGCAGACGTGATGCTGGGGGAAGCTGAGAGTTCTGGATCTGGATCTGGAGGCAGCAGGAAGTAATGATGACACACTGGAGCTTCTGAGACCTCAAAGCCCACCCCTAGTGGCATGCCTCGTCCAACAACGCCACATGTCCAACTAGTGCCACTCCCTATGGGCCTGTGGGGCCATTTTTTCAGACCAGCACATTATTATTTACATGTGTTCATGTTTGCCTGCATTTGTGTGTTTATGTGTGTGTACACGTGTGCACGCACACCAAACCTAGAACCTCTGCAAGAACAACAAATACTCTTAACCAATGAGCCATCTCTCCAGCTCCAATTTTTATTTCTAATCATATGTATATGCACCGTAGTACAGGTGCCCAAGTCATTAGTGCCCCCTGGACCTAAAGTATAGGCAGTATGAGCCACCTGATGTAGGCGCTAGGAGCCAAACTTGACTCCTCCTTAACAATGATACACACTCTGACCACTGAACCATCTCTAGCTAGGCCTTAATTCATTTGGCATTCTTGTTTTCTACTAGATATGTTTGCCTCTGGTGCTTTTAGTTGTTTTATGTTTTGTTTTGTTTTGAAGGCGGGTTTCTCTGTGTAGCCCTGGCTGTCCAGGAACTCACTCTGGAGACCAGGCTGGCCTCGAACTCACAGAGATCCTCCTGTCTCTGCCTCCCGAGTGCTGGGACTAAAGGCGTGCGCCACCACCACCTGGCTCTTTTAGGTTTTTAAAAGTAAATTTTTATATTATTCATCTTAAATAGTCTAATATCAGTTAAGTTTCCTCTTCAACATTAGGGTTAGATGTATTTTTTCTTTGTGTTTCAGGGGTTTGAACCTGTGGCTTTGTGCATGTTGATCAAGCACTTTACTGCAGAGCTGCATCTCTAGAGCAGAGGGTTTTTTTTAAGTTTGGTATTTTTATTTTCTAGTGAGAATTTGAATTTTTACCAAAGGCTGTGGCTTCACAGCCCGCATTCCTAGCATTAGCACTGAATTATGCCACTTCTAAGGTCCCAACTTGGCCTCTAATGAGCACTAGCCAACTATCTTTACTTCCCTGGGCCCAAGACAAGCAAGATAAGAGATCCGTACTAGGTAGTATCTCATTCCCTCCAGCTGTTACAAAGAAAGAAAGGACCTAAAAACTGAATAACGAACTTGGAACATCTAGGTGGGAATGGGAAAGATATGAAATGCATGGGACCCAACAGGAAGGATCTGTTAGGAAGGAACTGGGATTTGAGAAAGGCTTCATGGAGTTAACACTCCAACCCAAAGGCCCAGACTGCACTCACTCTCTTAGTAAGCCTGTGGTGAGCACCTGTGTGTCTTTTCACACTCAGTGTGTGGCAAGCACTCGTGTGCTCTTGCTGACTCCACCAACTAGAAAAAAGAGAATCCCTGCTCTGTGGAGTATAGTGGCAAGGTTTGTCTTCAGCTGGGCCACAAGGTACCACTTATTTCCACAGCACTTCCCTTATGACCTAACTCTCCTCAGGTAAGAGGCGGAAATTTCTGTGGCTTAAGGAGATAAAGAAACTGCAGAGGAGCACCGACCTCCTGCTAAGGAAGCTTCCTTTCAGCCGAGTTGTGAGTTCTGGGGACACCCTCACTCTGCCTTGGACCACCTTTGCTTTAAGCCTCCCACATATGGGAGATTTCTGCTTCTTGCTGATGTGGATAAAGGTTGCTTCTAACCCTCTGGGGCGCTGCACATCCTCGGTTTTTCTGTTGCTGATTTCTCATTACTGTAGTAGAGCCCTCTCACCCAGTTTCCCTCCATACCCTGGAGATTGCCTTTTCTTCTCTCCACCCATAAGCTATGCCAGTTAAAGCTCCCAGGAGTCCGCACCTACCCTGAGCCAGGCCCTTAGATCAAGGGCAGCACATAATGGTGGAAGTGAGGATGCTTAGAGATACTTGGAGAAAGACCATCTACTCTTTGATCACTCTGCTATTCTCAGCTCATCCCCACCCTGCTCCTCCACAGGTAAGAGAAATATGTGGGAAATTCACTCGAGGTGTGGACCTATGTTGGCAAGCCCAAGCCTTGTTGGCCCTTCAAGAGGTAAGAAGGAGTAGGTATTGGTAAAGGCTAAAAGGGGGAAGAGCATCCCAGAATTCCACAGGACGGCATAAGGGGTGGGTACCACAGACTGTTCCTGGCCTCCTGAAAAGAGTAGCCAATGGGCAATACCTGACAATTTGGGAGGGTCTGATGGGTGGCCATTGGGTTCACCCCATTCTTTACTTCAGTCCTTTGAGTCAGTATGTCTCCAAGAAAAAACAGTCCAGGTCCTTCATCCATGTCAGTCTTTGTGTCCCAGGCAGCAGAAGCATTTCTAGTTCACCTCTTTGAGGATGCCTATCTCCTCACCTTACATGCCGGCAGAGTCACTATCTTCCCCAAGGACATACAGCTCACCAGGAGGATCCGAGGCATTGAGGGAGGACTTGGCTGAGCTGGCAGTGTGCTGTGTGTCCGTAAGTCTTTCCTGCTCGAAGTGAGTGCTGCTTGTTGCTGGGAGTGGATATTGGTCTGAAGGGGAGAGTGTCATGCATCCTTGGTCCCTTGCCAACACACCTATTTGTTCCCTAATTAAGGTCTGGCCTTTCCCAACTGCTTGGGAGGCATGTGTCATGGTTCGTGTCTTTTTGTACAATGTTAAAATAAAAGCTGGATGTAGTGAGTGGTTCATGCTTGTAACCCCAGTACTTGGGAAGCCAAAGCAGGAGGATAAGGATTTCAAGAACATGTGAGCATCTCACTCACTCAAGTGCCAGGCAGGATGCAGCTGGCACTGCATAGTGAGAGCCTTCTTCAAAAAGAAGGGGAGATATGAGCTGTGCTCCATATAGCTGGTAGTACGTCTTGCCATTTACAAGGACTGGGTTCCCCCCCCCCCTTTTTTTTTGTGTGTGTGTGGTTTTGGTCTTTGGTTTTTGTTGTTGTTGTTGTTGTTTTCTTTTCAAGACAGGGTTTTCTCTGTGTTGCTTTGGCTGTCCTGGCACTCACTCTGTAGACCAGGCTGGCCTCGAACTCACCGAGATTCACCTGCCTCTGCCTCCCGAATGCTAGAATTAAAGGTATGCACCACTATGCTTGCCCTCAAATTCCATAATTTTAAAGAAAATTTTTCTTTTAAAAATGCCTTGTTAATAAATAAATAAATAAATAAATAAATAAATAGAAATGCCTTGTTAGGCTGGGCATTGGTAGCGCATGCCTTTAATCCCAGCACTCAGGAGGCAGAGACAGGCTCTGTGAGTTCAAGGCCAGTCTGGTCTACAGAGCAAATTCTAAGACAACCTCCAAAGCAATACAGTGAAACCCTGTCTCAAAAAACAGGGGCTGGAGAGATGGCTCAGAGGTTAAGAGCACTGACTGCTCTTCCAGAGGTCCTGAGTTCAATTCCCAGCAACCACATGGTGGCTCACAACCATCTGTTATGATATCTGGTACCCTCTTCTGGTGTGCAGATATACATGGAAGCAGAATGTTGTATACATAATAAATAAATAAAATCTTAAAAAAGAAAAAATACAAACACCCCTTTAAAAAAAAAACAAAAACAAAACAAACAAAAAAATGCCTTGTTAGCCAAGCATGGTGGTACATGCCTTTAATCCTAGCACTTAAGAGGCAGAGGCAGGAGGATCTCTATGAGTTTGAGACCAGTCTGGTCTACAAACCGAAATACAGGACAGCCAGGACTGTTACACAGAGAAACCTTGTCTTCAGGGAAAAGAAAAAAAAGTCTTGTTAGTAAATGTGATTCCTAAATTTCAGAGCCTACACGTGGGACCTTCTGGAGCCACAGTGAGCCCAGTGGTGTCTGAGGAGCTGCCTGGACTCAGCTGGTTTTGAACAACATGTACTTGTTGCCCTTTAAACTTTCTTTCTGAAGAAAAGACTGTAGCTTTTCTCTGTGACAGAGAGGAAAGAAAGGACCATCTGCATATGCCCATGGACATGAGTGTTTGCAGACCACAGGTCAACTTTGGGGTGTGAACAGCTCAACCATATAACTGTTTAAGGGTTTTGGACACACGAGATCTGCCGTGTTAGGAGGGGATGTTGTTATGTTAGTCTTTCTGGTCTATGTACATCTTTTACCATATGTTTATTTGTACTTTCATTTAAAATATAAGGGAGGAAAATCTGGGTGAAATGTTTGAATCTGTTGTATGGAGAGCCCTGGCAGTTCCTTGTTAGTGCCTGTCAACAAACATGCAGCTTTTCAAAACCAAACTAGAATTGATTACAAATCTTCCTTCCCTTCCATGCTAGGGCTTGAATCCAAAGCTTTGTACAGGCTAAGTGTGGACTATACTGTTGAGCCATATCCATAGCCTGAAATGAACAGTCTTTCTAATTCCTACCAGTAAATGCCTATCAATATCATCCAGAAAGCCTGTCATAGAACTGGACATTTTATTCTAAGCTGTAAATCATATAAAATGTATCCTATCAGTCTGGAGTGTTAAAATGTGTTTTCAGTATTTTTACAGGAGTTTCTTTTTAGCTTATTTGGGGAGATGTAATAAAAAATTTCTTAATGAAAAATTAAAGTTACTGTCCTAGGTGTTACAAGCCTTTTTAGTAAATATTGAGCTCGTTTTTTACACCATTTGAAACAGCCAAAATGTAAACAAGAGATGTGAGTGGTTCGGATTTGCCACCGATGAGGTGAACACACACAAAATTTGCTCTTTTGTTGGCAGTAAAAGAAATGTAAGAGGTTTCCAGAAAAATAGGCCACAATGCTCTTGGACTTGAGGTGAAAACAGCTGTGAGCACTAAACAGTCTGTGCTATTGATGGAGACATGTCAGCTGATTGAACTGGAGTTCCAGGTTTTGCTATTTAATAAACTTTACCCTTTGCAAGCATTTGCCATTTGGTCAGATATATGCAAACAGTCAAATAAAGCTTATCTGTGGGGTTTCTAGTCTTCTTCCAAGTGCCAGGTGGAATGAAGTATTCCCAGCACTGCAGTGTTTGTATGAGAATAAGTGATTTACATCCTGGTAACTAATGGAATGAAATGTTAAAATTTACTATACATTTTAAGAAGGCCATCTTCCCAGAGCAGGAATACAAGTGTGTGCTGACATACCTGGCATTTTAATGTGGATCCTGGGGACTAAACCCAGGCCCTGTGGTTACAAGGTGGACACCTCAGCAACCAACCCATCCCCAAGTGTTGTTGAGTTTTCGCATTTTACCTCTGTTACAATTTGGTCTGGAAGGTTCCCTGCTGCCCATGTGTTTGGGCTCTTTAACCTTGAGAGGCATGGCTGGGGAAGTAGCTATAGGCCTCGAGGGCTCTAGTTTGGCCTTGCTTCCTGGGTGGGGACCACACCAGAGAGTTGCTCCAGTCCCTCTGCCTTCCCCTACCCTGATGGATGTTATCCCATGAACCAAGGGCCAAAATAAGCCCCTCCTCCCACAAAGTGCTTCTGTTAGGTGTGTGGTCACAGAGCAAACTCCTGCTATGTGTATTTGCCACCCACCTGTCTGATCCTTGCCTTTCCCGACTAGGTGATTGCATCACTCTATCCTTTCCCTTCCACTGACTTAATTTCTGCTTTCATGTTTTTAACACCCAAGGCCTTTTTCTTTTTAAATGTTTCTTTTTTATGCAAAATGCCAGTCAGCATTCACTCAAACCGAAACCACTACAGCTATTTAAATCGGAGGTATTGTCGAGGCGACTAATAACTAATAATCAGAAAGATGGAAGGCGACAAGGGAAGGTCAGGGAGCTGCTGGTGTCCCAAACCCACCCTCACAGCTGCCGCGCTGCCTCCTCACACTGAGCAGAGCACCACGCTTGGCGGCCGGCCGTGGTGGCAGCAGTGGCTGTGACTGCCAAAAGCCCTAGTAAAATAGGAGAAGATGTCTATTTTTCCTCCTACCTCCCAGGCCCCACAAGCACCTCCCATTGGCAGAACCTAACCAGAAGCAGCCACAAGGGAGTCTGGTAATGTACCTAATCATCTTCTAGCCTCTTTTGTTAGAACTTCAAAGAGAAGAATAGGAACTCAAGCCAATAGAATAAGCAATGCTTTTTTAAATTTGTTATAATTTTCTGTTAGCTGGTTTTTGTTTTTGCTGTGTAATAACTGCTCCAAATTAGTTTCCCCTCTTTCTAGTTGTTCTAGTTCCTCTACGGTTCTCCTTGGTAGCTAATGGTATATGCTTGAGGGCAGAGACAAAAGCTCACTGAGAATTGGTTCTGAGCATGTGGCTGGGAATAATAGCTGCATCTGAGTTTTCCTGAAGGATGCTCCGGTGAACATGACAGAGAACCCTCTCGGCCCCCTCAGGATAAATGTATGCTCAAGTAAGGCTCAGGTGGTGCTAAGCTGATACCCCTATTCAAAATCTATGCACAGACCTGCAGCATGTCCCGAGCTTTGGCCTCCTTGCGTCCTTAGGCCCTCTACTTAACTGACTCAATACTAAGAGGACACTGGGGACAGGCAGCTATGTAGTGAGTGGTGGGGAAACTCTTAGAGTCACCTTTGCAGCCAGCCCTACCCAGCTGTCATTGCTCCAGTTGCAGAAGGATTTGAGGCCATCAGTTGGGGCTGGTAAAGGCTGTGGTGTGGAATGTGCTGGCTCGGTTCTGCCCCTCCAGTCTTGGGAGCTGCTGAAGTCACTGTCTACTTGTCCATCTGCATTCTGACTTTCACCAGTGTTGCTGCTCTTGCCTCTGTGCTTCTCCCCATCTCTCTCAGCTTGTGGTGATTTTCTTAACTCTGTATAGAACCCTATTCTGGCAATTTTCTTTCTTGACGTGAGAAAGCTGACGCCACCATTTTCTGGGTTCTGTTTTCGCTGTTGAAATGTCACTCCAAACATTACTCTTTGAAGCTAATACTGTTCCCTTGATTTATCATTTCTTCAACGATTTTCCCTTTTTCCTGGTGTTCTGCAGTGTCATGATGTTGTGTCTAAATACAGGCTTTTTTTTTTTTTTTTTTTTTGCTGGGGCTTCTTGAATATGGCTTTTCATCAATTCTCACCCATTATCTCTTCAAATATCGCCTTTCCCTAGCCTCTCTCCTGATCCCCAAGTCACCTGCTTTCCAGGTCTGTCCCCTGTGCCCTCTTCAATGCTTTCATATTATTTCTTCTGCCCACTTTGTAATTCATTGAGTTTTTTCTGCAGCTCTTCCTAATCTACCTTTAAACTTTTCCATTTTCTTTTCATTTTGTTTTATTCTATTTTGAGACAGGCTCTCAGTATATAGCCCTAGCTGGCCTGTAACTCACAGAGATTTCCCTGTCTCCTGTCTCTGCCTCCGAGTGCTGGGATTAAAGGTATGTGTCACCAGTTCTGTCCTTTGTCCATTTTCTTTCTTTCTTTCTTTCTTTCTTTCTTTTTTCTTTTTTTTTTTTTTTTTGTTTTTTTTGTTTTTTTTGTTTTTTTTGAGACAGGGTTTCTCTGTGGACTTTGGAGGCTGTCCTGGAACTCGTTCTGTAGACCAGGTTGGTCTCGAACTCGCAGAGATCCCCCTGCCTCTGTTTCCCGAGTGCTGGGACTAAAGGCGGGTGCCACCAACGCCCAGCTCCTTTGTCCATTTTCTTAATTTTAGTTGTTGTAAGGTTTGTTTTGAGTTTATTATTTCTATGGTTATTATTTGGTTCTTTTTGGTTGTTACTGTTTTGTTTTGTTTTTGAGACAGGGTCTCACCCAGCCCAGGCTGGACTCAAGCCTGCTGTGTGGCCAAATGAACTTGAGCTTATTCTCCTGCCACTGTTCCCCAATGCTGGAGTTGTAGGAATGCAACACCATACCTGACACCACCATGCCTACCATCCCTTTTAATTTTTTATGTTATTTTTTATAGATTCTTGTTCCCTGCTGAGAACTCCCAAGTCTGGCACCTTTCTCTCCTTAATAATGTAAGCTTAGTTGTTTCTGGCTGTGTCTGATGGTTCTGGGGTTTTGAGCCCCTATGGATCTGTTTCTGTATATGGTTTTCGTTGGTTCTCATTCGTGATTTCTTGTCTCTGGGGTCTCAGATACCATCTTCTAGAGAGGGTCCTTTCTCTCCCATCAGCCACCTCGAGGCACTGAAAATCCAGACCTCCTCAGTGACCTTCACTTACTCACTCCACAAGAGCAGCCAGCTTTCCAGGTGGTACCCTGTGCTCTAGCCTCCACCACCCTGTTGAATTTATTCGAATGGTATTGTTTCAGGAATTCAAAACTTCCATTAAAAGGTATGTGTGTGTGGACTCTGATAGGTAGGTGTATGTATGTATGTTGGCCTAGAAGCTGGAGGTTGATGATATCAGGTGTCCTTCCTTGACTGTTGTCCACCTTTGGTGCATGTCTGCATGGTACATGTGTGGTTTGTTTGTTTGTTTGTACTTTGGTAGTGTAGATGTTTGCATCTGTGTGTGCAGAAGCCAGAGGAGAGTGTCCTGTGGCCTCGTCTGTCACTCTCCACCTTATTCCCCTGAGACAGGACCTCTTACTGAAACTGGAGCTGACTGCCCCTGAGCAAATTGCAGCAATCCTTCTGTCTCTAGCCTCCCCTACCGTAGCCCTAGGGTTATGGGTGCATAAGGCCATACCCAGCTTTTTACTTGAGTGTCAGAGATCCGAACTTGGGTCCTCATGTTTGCATTACAGGCACTTCAACAGCTGAGCCCTCACCTCTCCCCAGCCCCTCATTAATTTTTTAATTGGAATATTTGCATACCTTTGAAAAATGGTCACAAACCACAATTTCACAGCCCTGAAACACCAATATTACAGTGCTCAGATGGAGACTCAGATACTTGCAGCTTCCAAGAAGTCTGCTCTGGGTCCCACTCTAGCAGACATTTGCTTTGCCAAGGTAGGAATCCCGACTACAATCACAGCAGGCTGTGTTAGAGGATGAAATAGTAGAGGATGTATTCTCCTGAGTCCCCTACAACTGGGTTAATTCTCATGGCTGTATAGACACCCTCTACCTGAGCTCTGCTTCCTTGGTTTCAAACAATCTCGATAAAGAAGATTTGGGGGAAAGGGCATCTGTGCTGAACATTTACAGATTTTTTTTCTTATGACTTATTCTCCCAAACAAGTATAAGGACCACATTACATTGTGTTATGCATTAAAGTGACATCAAGATAAGGTTGTGTATATGGGAAAAGTGTATGCGGATTATTTGCAAATATTCTTATGGGGGGTGGGTTTTGAGGTAGGGTATCTCGGTAGCTTTGGAAGCTGTCCTGGAACTTACTCTGTAGACCAAGCTGGTCTCAAACTCACAGAGATCTGCCTGTCTCTGCCTCCTGAGTAAGGGGATTAAAGGTGTGTGCCACCACCACCCAGCAACAAAGATTCTTCTTGAAACAAACAAAAAGAATAGTTCTTTCTCCTATAGATCAGGCTAGCCTCCTGCCTCGGTTTCCCAAGTAGGCATTCACCACTACATCAAGCCAAACTACTATGCCATTTTATATAAAGGGACTTGCGTATCCATTCACATGAAATCTTGAAACCAATTCCCTGTAGGCACCAAGAAACAAATCAAAATATTCCATTGCATGGATATAGGCAAAATTGTATTGAACACTTGGGCAGATTCATGTTTAAAGCTATTATAAATGTTGGACATTCATTCTGCTTAAAAATGTATGAGATGATGGGCTGGAGAGATGGCTCAGAGGTTGAGAGTACCGACTGATCTTCCAGAGGTCCTGAGTTCAATTCCCAGCAACCACATGGTGGCTCACAACCATCTGTTACGAGTCCTGGTGCCCTCTTCTGGTGTGCAGATATACATGGAAGCAGAATGCTGTATACATAATAAATAAAATCTTTTAAAAAATTTATGAGATGCAATTATTTGTAAATGTTTTATATTGTAAAGAAATCAA